GTTGATGTACAGTGATGTCCTACCATGAATTGAGCACAACTCATTAATCCCTCCCTCTGTAATGTTAGTCTCATGTTCACTCATCAATGCCTATCCTCCAAAAGGGATGAAAGCCAAGAGTTCCCAGCATAAAGCATTTGCCTTACCATTTCCTGTCCTCTGAGACAAAACAATTAATATCCTAGAATCCTTGAATTTTAAGAGCCACGACTAGCAGGGAAGTTCTGTTGGTTCCCAGAGACTCCAACTTTCTGTTCCCCATTACTGGAAGATTCAGCTCAAGCCCACTTCCTCCAGGAAGTTTCCATTTTCCCGCACAGAACTCATTGCTCCATTCTCTCAACCATTTCTTCGTTCATGTTTTACACTGAGGCCGAAGGTCAGTTTTTTTCTGTCACTTTCTGGTCTCTCTACCCTCTCCATCTCTTTCTGAATTAGACTCTTCAGTATGCCATCATGTTCATCAGTAAATGTTGAAGGCAGTGAATAAACTTCCCAAGGACAGTGGGTGTAGCCACAACATAGTGACATCACAGAGGATGCCAGGGCTCTCCAGGATACAATGGAATGTCTAGGGAAGAGCTGCAGATGTCAAGGGAACTGACATTGCTTTCCTGCTAATGTGCTTTCCTCATAATACACTAGAAGTCAAGCTGACCTTTGCAGGAGCCTCTGCTGGGATAAAAGGGAAGCCCTTCAGCACCCCATTCTTCCAAAGCCAGAGTTCTCTCTCCTATTGATTGGACATCCTTTAGTTCTTTCCAGGTGTGGAAGTGAATGTTTATCTCCTACTGAAATTTTATGCACACTAGGTAATAATATTATAGAAATTTATATATGATATAGTTCACAATAAGTATCTGCATCTTCTTATCCCCTTAGCCACAAGACATTATAGATTTAATTCTGACTGAGAAGGACCCTTGTTAAACAATTTCTTGGTAAAACGTCTACAGTTGGAAACATCTGAGCAGAGTTATGCTAGAAGAAGTGACTGATACAGCCTAGGAACAAGTACCCAGAGGAGTGTGATATGGTCATGGAGCTCAGTGTGTCTAAAATCTGTGTCATAAGCATGTGTGTGGTGGGTGTTGTACTCTCTGTTGAGTAGCTCAAAGTGGTCTGCTGTTACTGGTTAGTAAAGGTGGCCAGACAGCTGGAGTCCTCCACACAACATGAGTTTCTTATAGAGCAAAAGATATTCAGGAACATCCTTTGCAAGCCCATTCATATTTAGACACATAGACTCTAGGGTTCCACTGTACACTCTAGATCAATGGTTCTTAATTTTCCTATTCTCTGACCATTTAAATAGCACTAACAGTAGTTACTCATGTTGTGGTGAACAATCAACATAATTGTTTCATTATTTCTTAAATTTAATTTTCTCACTGTTATGAATCATAATTCAAATATTTTATTGCAGGATATCTGATATTCAGCCCCCAATGGGTTTGAGGACCACAGCTTTGAATGCAGGCAGAAATCTCCTCAAACCCTGGCAGTGATGCAGGAGCATTGTGATTCTTAGTTTTTATTATCAGACTGAATCAAACTAGTCACCTGGGAAGAAGGATCCTCAATGAGGAATTGTATGGGTCAGATTTACTTTGAACATGTCTCTGTCGGATTTTATTAATTGTTAATTGAGATAAGACTCCCTAAAATGGGGAGAATCATTTCATTGTCTGCAACCTGTAAAGTGTAAGTATGAAGAACTTCAAGCTTAAGCATAAACAAATAGGCAGCATGGGTCATTTCTTTATTTCTGTTCTTGGCTGTGGATGTGATATGATTAGCTAAGTTCCTAACTTGACTTCAAAAAATGGAACTATTAACTGGAATTGTGGCCTATGGTACATTTTTCATATTCTAAGTTGCTGTGCTTGATAACTCGGTGTAATAAAAATGTTAAGAAAACACTCTGTGACAGAGGGGTTTTCACAAGTCAGTGAGATGTGCATTTCATGAAATGCTCAACAGCACCATATCTGTCTCAGAAGAAGAGATCCTACTTCCTCCTGAACCCAACTTGTGTTTTCCTCTCACAATTTTCCAAAGACACAAAGACACCCATAGACTCACAAACTACTTCAACCTGTCAACAAATGTCCCCTGATATTGTCTTGCCATATCAAGAACTATGCTAAATTCTTCTAATGTGTTATATACAACAACCTTCATTTCAATGAATGAATTTTTCTTTGAATTTCCTGACCATCAACATTTTCAGATATTGGGAATTGGATCTGAATTCACTTCCTTGGCTATGAATTTATGCTATGTCCTACATTGAAGTCAGAAGAAGCTCCTTCAAGCTGAGAGCAACATAGTACTTTAAATTCCAGGTGTGCAGGGGTAAAAGTAATGACTGGCAATGTTTCCACTAGGTTGGACATTAACTCCAGGCCTGATGTACTAACATCCCTGTGAGGTGTGGTGGTATTCTAATTGTACTGAAATGTGATTTTGATTGTATGCTAATAAATAAAGTTGCCCAGGGGTCAGAGCTATTAGAGCCATAGACAGAGTGTGGCGGTGGTGGCGCACGCCTTTAACCATATAGATCTCTGTGTGTTCAGGGAAATAGCCAGCATTGGAAACATATG